TTCTAGCGAACTCGTTCAGCCTGAAGAAAAAAAAATTAGACACATTTGAAAAAACTGCAAGGTCCCAAGAAGAGCCGTTTTTAAACCGTAATTCGATTTTGTAAGCAGCGTGGAGTTCGAAGGAAGAAACATTCACTGCTTTTAAGCTCCTTGAGCGAGTGTTTTTACGCATTTACCGATTAAAGGCATGAAAGTCAGTGGTGGCATTAGGCTGACCAGCACTTGACTTAATCCCAGCCACAGCAATGAAACGACTTTCACCTGTGTCGTCGCGGGGCCCTACGATCAAAGCGTCAAAATCAAAAAAGAGCAGGTCTGTGACCAGTTACTTACCCGCATTTCCTCCTGTGTCATAGTTTGCATAACCTCTTTCCACTGAGGCGTTGCTTGTAGGATCGTAAGTACAGTTTCCAAATATCCCATATATTTCACATATTTTGCTATTTCTTTTCTCTCAAAAAAAAAAAAAAAAAATTAATAAAAACGCTCAGTGCAGGAAACAGAATAATCTGTGCCAGGGATCAAAAACATTTTAACGGAACGACTGCAGTATTTTACGCAAGTAGATACAATTTATGCACCGCACTACATACCATTTTTATTTTTACTTTTAATTATTATTTTTTGTTACAACCTTTTCCATAACCATAAAATATTCGAAAATCAAAATACCGAACTTCTCTACTGCAGTGCAAGCAATTTGCTCGTCCGGAAGCCGAACGGCCAGAAAACTTGGCATCGAAAAACACAGTTAATCACAAGTGCTCAGTGCCACTGATCAAAACTTCGCCGTGAGGAGTTCTGATCGGGGCGAGAGACCTTACCTGCTGCTCTTCGCGCTCCCTGTCACGCTGTCCCTGCTTGTCAGCGCTCTGGAATTCATCGGCCGTCTCCCGATGCGGCGGAGCGGCATCGATGCAAACCAACACACAAAGCAGCAGCAGCGGCCGGCGACATCCATACTCTCGCATCCTCGATAAAGCTCGAGTCCCCGGATCGACGCCAGCACGGCCACCTAAATATGCCTGAACCTTCGGTAGTGGTGCAGCAACCGGAAACAGACCACTTTTACTCCCCTCCCCCCTTCTCCCTCTCCCTCTTTCCTTCCTCCTCGTCTCCCCTGACCAAACAGAGCTTCCTTCATCCCCCCTTGCTGGGACGATCTGGCCAGTGGAGAAGCAGCTGCAGCATGCACTGAGCCACTTCCCGATCGGACTGGCCGGTCGTGGTGGGAATATTCCATGCGGACTTGTAGATGCCCTTTAGTTCCACGTAAGCAGAAATGACGCCAGTGGGACAGCGGCTGCATTCACTGTGGAGGACGAGTGGGAGGGGAGCAGGGAGGGCTGCCTGCGATGCAACATTTATTGCACGAGAATCAATTTGCCTTTCCTGCTCTCAACTGATGAAATTATTGGAAAAATTTTCATTGCGGTGCAAGTGCACAGGCAAAGTTGATGAACCCACCCAGGGAGCAACACTGACCAGTCCAAAAAAAATTGGCCAACGCACGGGCTGCCCGTGCGAAGATGCGTTTTTTGCAGAGTTCCCCGCA